TAGGGCACTGTGATTTCAGGAAGAATTCAATTAAAGGATATATAGATCTAATGCAGAAATTACAATTTCTGTTTTATTAAAAATACATATGTTTGTTCACAAGGCTCAGTTAATGAAATTATCTTATGATAGACTTCTCTTTTTTTTCCCTTTAAATAATATCTGATAAAAATCAGATAGCAGCAGGTATCAGTATAAGGCCCTGATTCTGGAATCTGTGAAAACAGAGAGAAGGATCCTTCTAGCCCCTTTCCTGGGAGGGTGAGATAATGGTTTAGATTGTTTGCCACTCAAAAAGGGCAGGAACTGCCAAGTTGTCAGCTCTCTGGATTTCCACTGCATGAGAGATATCAGGAGGCGGTTCTGTGTGGTTCTGAAGGAACACACAGTCACAGAAGGACTGGGGAAAAGACTGAACCAAATGATTAGAAGAGGTGGTTCCACCAGAGTCAGATCTAAGGGCAGAATGAAGGAGAACTTAAGAACAATACAAGATCGACAAGTCAGTGACCACACCTCAGCACCCTCTTCCTAACCCACCCAGGAAGCCCACAGGAGCAGAACAGTGGGAGTGGGCTGGGTTCCATGGGTGGGGGCTGAGGGAAGGTGTTCTGGCTGTGCCTTTCCTCTCCCCAGCTAGCCCTTGGTGGCTAACTGCCTGAACCATCACCACCACAGCATGGGCCAGCCCCACCTTGGCCAAAGCCAGCTGGAGGAGCGTCAGGGCAATGCTCATGCTCAGCTGGGACAGGGCACCGGCCACGATGGGAAGAGGTGGGCTGGCCAGGCCTGGAGCCTTCCCTCTTCTCTCCTACACCCCCTGTGAGCTGACAGTTAGAATAGAAGGTGGTAGCCCCTGCAAATGAGCAATTTCTAGAACAGATGAGCTGAGAGGTTCCCAAAGGAATAAAGCCAACTGTGGGGAAGAGAGCCAGTGGGGAACATTTTGAGCCCATATTAAAGCATTCAGAACTCTCCAACTTGAGTGTGCTTCCCCCCATGCTCTCATTCACAGGAAGGCAAACCAGAGCCCATGCCTTTGTCCCTTTCCCCTGATACCACGAGCTAAGATGGCTGGTAACTGCAAGGTGCTGCGTGTTCACAGGGAAAACTTAGGAAACATCTGAGCAGTGCAAACACAGTTACAGAAAGTCCACAGAGTACCTGGGGCTGGAATGCACAAGGAGGACATGATTTTAAAGTAAGCCTAGTAGATGGGACTTCCCTGGTGGTCCAATGGTTAAGACTCCACCTTCCAATGCAGGGGGTGCGGGTTTAAGCCCTGGTCAGGAAGCTAAGATCCCCCATGCCTCGTGGCCAAAAAACCAAAACATAAGACAGAAGCAGTATTGTAACAAATTCAATAAAGACTTTAAAAAAAAATAAAGTAAGCCTACTAAATATGTTCAAAGAGAGAGAATATGAGAATGTGAAATAGTAATAATAATGAGAAAGGCTAATTTGGAATGAAATAATGTGAATGCTGATTAACAGAATGGATTCATGTGAAGAATAAATTAGGATGTTAGAAGAGCAAGTGAAGGAAATCTCTTAGAAGATGTGAAATTAAGATGCAAGAAGACAATGGAGGAATGGAATGGTTTTAAAGGAAAATAATTTGGACCCAGAATTCTTATTCCACTAAACAAAAATTTAAGTATGTCATGTAAACTCCTCTAGGTACTGACAGCGTTAGGAGATTGATCATGCAAAAATTCTTTTAGAAAATAGTCTTTGAAAATGTATTCTTTCAGCAAAAGATAACTGTGAGTAAATAAAGAAGTTGATTGTGGTCTAAACAAGCAACAAAAAGAAACTACATATGTTTGAGGGCACATGGAGGCAGGAGGGAGAAGATAAAAACAAAGACACATGTCTTTTTCAGGGTAAAATATAGTTGTTGATAAGTTTTAAAAATTAACAGGGAGAAAACCTAAATATAGGTTTTAATAGAACAGGGGTAAGTATAACATAAGGAGAATGTATAACTTTCAAACCAGTTGAAAAATTTAATTAGCCAGAAAAGATAGAAAAGGAGAAAGATACATACAAAAAGCATGGTGAATAAAACACACAACATAAAGCAGCACAGATACAACAATAATAAAAATAAAGTAAGTGGATTAAATTCACTGCTTAAAAGACAGACTCGTACTGGATAATAAAATAATACCTGATGATAAATTACTTCCAAGAATCACATTTGATATAAAAGGATGAGGAAAGGTTGAAATAATGGCTGAAAAAATGTTATTCCAAATATGAACCAACAGAAAGGCAGAGTAGAGGTTTAACATCAACTAAGACAGATTTAAAGATAAAAACAGGGACTTCCCTGGTGGTCCAGTGGTATAGAATCCGCCTTCCAATGCAGGGGACACGGGTTCAATCCTTGGTCAGGGAAAAAAGATCCCACATGCCACGGGGCAACTAAGCCCGTGCACCACAACTACTGAGCTCATGTGCCTCAGTTAGAGCCTGCATGCCTCAAACTACAGAGCCCATGTGCTCTGGAGCCTGCATGCCAAAACTAGAGAAGAGAAAACCCCCATGCCACAACTAGAGAGAAGCCCACTTGCTACAATGAAGAGCCGCACGTCGCAATGAAAGATCCTGCATGCCTCAATAAAGATCCTGCATATGCTGCAACTAAGACTCAATGCAGCCAAAAATTAAAAAAATAAAAAAATTAAAAAAATAAAAAAATTTAAAAAATAAAGATAAAAACAATTATGTGGGACAAAGAGACACTCTATATATTGGTAACAAAGCATATTAGAGCCAGATGGCCTAACAATTATGGATACATATGCACCTACCAATACGGCCCCAAAGCGTAATGGAAAGGATGAAGCTAAGAGAAGAAACAGGTAATTAGTATTAAACTTTGTAACTCAAGTGTGGCTTTTCTAGACAACAGAGTAAGCATAGAAGAATAATCCAAGATAGAGATTCCAATGTAGCTTGAATAATAAGGCTGAGCTAACAGAAACAGACAACATTGACTCACAACAGTTTGGGAGGGTTGACCTAATGCAATAGGAGAAATGGAATTCACTGTGTAAATATTAAGAGGAATATTAAATTATTTCAGATCCTATGATTATATATTTAGGAAACCCAAGATATTCTCTGAGAACAATTAGTATTAATAAGAGAACTTACGTAATGACTGGATAAAAGATAAATATACAAAAAGTTGTTTTTCTCTGTGCCTAAACTCTTAACAGAATGTGAATAAATGCAGAGGTATATGCAATGTTCTTGAATGGAAAAACAATATTACAATATGCTAAATATTCCTAAAATAAAATAAAAGTCCAATCCAATTCCAATCAGAATTCCAATTTTAAGGTTACTATGGCAGAATAAATATCCAAAAATAGTGAAAAAGTTTTGGAAAAGAACAGCAATAAAGGAACTTGCCTTTGCAGAGAGTAAATACTATATGAAACTACAAGAGTCAAGTGTAACAGACTGGGTGGGCACACAAACAGACAGAGTCCAGAAACGGAGCCAAATACATTTTGGGGAAGTTAATGTACAGCAAAGTTGGCATTTCAGTTCAGTGGGAAAGGAATGCTTTATTCAATAAATGTGCTAGAATACCTCATTCTCAATCCAGAGAAGCAAAACTAGATCCTTAGCTATTATTTGTAAAAATTTCAAATTGATTATAAGACCTAAGAACAAAATTTAAAAACAAATATGGGAACATATGCTAGTAACTTTGCACTCCAGGAGAACTTCTAAAGTGAAAAAGGACACCCATTAGCCATGAATGTATAGTAATGTAAACATTCTGTAAGGCAGAATATTCTGTGAAGAGTCATAAGGCAAAAAATGCAGTGGGATGTATATATAGACGTGTATACATATATATATACACAAAATGTTTTTAGTCTTCATTATAAAGAATGCTACAAATTGATAAGAAAAATGCAAACAAATCAATAGAAAAATGGGCAAAGTATGTGAACAAGCATGTCACAGAAGGGGAAATCCAACTTGGCTAACAAGCAAATGACAAGATGAAAGTTAAAATACACTATTTTTTGCCCTTCAGAGTAGAAAAACAATGTAAAATCATCATGAGACCACCCAGTCCTGGCAAGAATGAAGGGAAACACCCAGTTTCACACATGGTGAACAGAAATGTGTTTGGGAACGAAGTCTTGAAGTTATCAAATAAAAAACACATGTGTTGGCACAGCAAACCCACCTTGGAAATGCCAACCTATAGAAATAACAGCACTTGTACATACAAATTACAGGTATAAAGTTTATTTTAGCAGTGCCTATAGTGTCAAAAACCACCACCACCAACAAAATCCAAGAAAAAACAGAATCACGACGAACAGGCATGGTTTAAAAATGATCGTATGCTGTGGAATAAAATATTTAGAGAGAATGTTTGTGATTTATTGTTCAATGAAACAAGCACTCTGCCAAGTGCATTATGTGCATTCGACTCTGATGCGTTTGCACTTTGAACAAGCAAAGTAAGAAGGAGCAGAGAAGACAGAACAAGCTGGGGCCATTGGTCAGTCTCCCTGAGGTTTGGGAGGTGTGGAGAAGAAAACTCTTATGTTTCTTTCATAGATCTTTGCATTGTTTCCTTTGTTACAATGAGCTTTTCTCATTTCTGTAATTAAGACATGGAAAATGAAGCACATCGGATGATGAACATCAATCTCGAACAGGTTTGGAGGCTTCTATGCTACTTGAGAAATAATTGCAGGGAGCAGAGATGTTGGGTCTGGAAAAGCCAGGACTCCAGGAGGAATGTGGGGTCCCAGAGAAGTGGACACACTCTCCAATTTTTCTGAGGCGGGAACGGAAGCTGTAAAGTAGTATGTGGTGTGGTGCTCAGAGAGCCCCATCTGCCTGCAGCTGGGAGGCCATGACCTCGCCCTTCTGTGTACCCCCACCCCAGCCCCCTCGCAAGCCAGGGAGTGCTGGCCAGGGAGCTGGTGCAGGGCGGGTCCCTCAGCTGGTACCTTGGGCGATGTCGTCTTGCCTGGGCGGGCAGGGCCGTTCGGCCATGTGCGTAGGTGGGGGGTGCTCTCGCTCGGGCTGCTTGGGGCACCTGCCCTCGTTGAACACAGGCGGCAGGTTGGCTGTGTGCACCTGTCGGAGCTGCTCATAGTCACTCAGAGCGGCCGTCAGGTCCCAGTTTTTGCCTGGAGAAGAGAAATGACAAGACATTACAATACTGATGCATGAACAATGGTCACATTTTAGGAAAGAATCACGCAAAGAAGGGTCTCTGTTAGCACGTGTTCACTCATGAACTCCCCACCAGGAGTTCTCATTTTTCTTCTTTTCTGTTTTTGGTTTTTCACTCAATGCTTTTTAGTATACTCACAGAGTTGTGCAACCATCCACACTATACGATCCCAGAACACTTTTCATTACCCTGAAAAGAAACTTTTTTAAAAAACTGAAATATAGTTGATTACAATGCTTCAGGTGTATAGCAAAGAGATTCAGTTATACATACACATACACAGATCTATTCTTTTTCAGATTCTTTTCCATTGTAGGTTATTACAAGATATTGAATATAGTTCCCTGTGCTATACAGTAGGCCCGTGTAGTTTTAGTTCTCAGCTTTCGAAGGAGTAAAATGGCCTGACGCGTACTCTCTAAGAGTAGAATTTCACACCCACGCCTGAGATCCATCCCTCTGAAGTACGTCATGTACCTATGGTAGCACATCATGTAGTATCTAAGGATGCTAGCCTTAGATTCACACACCCTGCAGAACATTCCACGCCTCTGAAAACCAAGTCATAGAGCTTAATTTCCAAGGGGAGCAAAACATTGAGTGCAAAAAAAAAAAAAAAAAAAAAAATGGAAAAGAAGTTCCCAGTGGAAAAAAAAAGGAATGAAAAGAATTCTCATGTTTTCTTTGGGCTTTTGCTCAGTATTTCACCTTTTTCTTGAAGCTTAGCTTGGAGAGGGCAGAGGCTCCAGGGGGCTGTGTGGGAGGCTCGGTGGGAGGCGACCTCAGAGCTCAGGTGCTGAACTGGGTGAGACTCCAGGCAGGACAGCTGTGCCCATCCCAGGCAGCGCTCAGCAGGGATGGGTGCTGGGGGTTCACAGCACGAGGGGGAGCTCATGGGGGGGTTGGACTCAGTGTGGAGGCTCTAATCCCTGACTCTAAGACTTAGTGGACTTCGAACAGAAGGAAGGAGGTGGCACACATCCGATTCCGTTAGGCAACCATGTGCTTCTTAAAGATTTTTGTTTTTTGATATGGACCATTTTTAAAAGTCTTTATTGAATTTGTTACAGTTTTGCTTCTGTTTTATGTTTTGGTTTTTTGGCCAGGAGGCACGTGGGATCTTAGCTCTCTGACCAGGGATTGAACCCACACCCCCTGCATTGGAAGGCGAAGTCTTAACCATTGGACCCCCAGGGAAGTCCCAACCATGTGCTTTTTAAAGGCAACGAATTAAAAGCTTAGCTCTAATTTTAAAGAGTGAATAAAATCTTATCCTCTCCCGATTAACTTCAAATTTTGCAGTATTCACTATATTGACTAACAATACGATGAATTATGCGGTATAGACAACAGAATGAGGCTTTGAACTTCTAAAATAATATCTGAACATCTTCCTCTGGTCTTTCTACTTTTTTCTGCTGCAGACTTGATACTATCAATCAGAATGTTTAAATTCTATCACATGGACATGTACAATTTAATCGTATTTTTTTCTTCCACAGTCAGCTAACAAAGACACCACTGAAGCATCTTTGCACATCTCAGTGGGGAAGAAAAGGAAACGAAACCATCCGGGTTATTCAACAAAACCCTAGCAGGGTCTGGGGGCACTTTTGTAAGTGGTGACAGGTGGGGACATGGGTGGAATGCAGCCCCACTACTGTTAGTAGTTGTATCGTGCAACGTGGCGGTGATGAGAGAGTCGTTTTAGGGGAACCAGTTGAAGCAGAAATGCAAGCATGCACTTTCACTCTTACACGCGACTAACAGTCACAGTGTACACACTGCCTGTCTAAGTGCTTTTGAGTCTAAGTGCTTGTGTCTATCAAACGGGCATCCTCGTTCCAGGGTGCAGTCCAAGAAGGGCAAGACAAGGCCCTGCCTTAGGGACATTATTCCTTAGCAGGGGCGATGACCTGGGTGGGCACCTTGCCCTAAAGTAGGGCCAAGGGTGGCAGGTGCCCCAGGGAGGGCCAAACCTGTGTCCAGGAGGAAGGTCAAGGAGAGGGGAGGTGGAGGAGAGGCACCCGGATTGCGATCCTATCACGAAATGCAAACACGTTAAATATGGGAGTGTGTATTAGCAATGACGCCAGCCCCACGAATCCTGGCTGTGAAGGGAAAGAGCCCGCATGGAGCACCCAGGTGTAGCCGGGGGTGTCATCGTCCCCAAGCCCCACAAGGAGCAGGCACTGTCCTGGCTCCTCACAAACAGAAAGTGAGGCTTAGAGGATTGCTACACCACAGTGTTTGCAAATGAACCCTCCATTCTGGATCTGTCCACCAAGCTGCATCTCCCCTGCAGGGCTGCCATGGACATAAGACCCAGTCCTGAAAGAGCTGTGGCCCCCCAGCTCCTGCTCTCAGGAGCCAGCCCACTGTGCTTCTCCCACCAACTGGAAAGAGCCTGTTCTGCTGTTCCTGTCTGTCCCCAGTAGGAGACCCTTTTGGAGCCCCCTGATCCACGTTCCATCACAGGTGATCAGGCCCGAGTATGAAGGCAGGACCACAGTGCTCACGTGTGGCTTCTGTGGACCAGAACTCCAGGGTGGGGGTGTGTTCCCACCGTGTGCCTCTGTTAGAGCATCAGCTGGGGCAACGCTGAGAAGCACGTGTCCAGCCGTCAGCCAAGGCCGGTCCACTCTGCTCTCCCACCCGGGGACCTCTCACTCGCTGATTTTTCCCACTTGCTCTTGCCTACATTGTCTTCTCCCATCACTGCCCTGGGCTCCTGTTCACTTTGCTACACACCTGCCTGTATCCTCAACCAGCAAGCATCCTGGTTCTAACCTGGGCCGCACCTCTTAGCAAACGGGGATCCAGTGTCAGGTGAGAGCGAAGATGGACGAGGGGGTGGCACTGTCCACAAAGCCCAGCTCCCAAACGATCCCCAAATGCTCGATTTCAGCTTTTAGAGAACTCCTCAAGGATCCAGGACTCCAGGGTCTGTGCACTTGAAAAGGGTCCAAGAGGCCACTGAGAGGGAAGCAAGCAAGATGGAAGGAAGACAGACACACTCATCAGATGTTTAGGGGGTCAGAGCCCCTCGAGATCTGCTTCCTGCTCTGTCCAGTCCCAAAGACTGCAGCTCAGGACAACCAGG